TATGATTTGCTAAACCCTTTCCACAGACACCACACGGATAAGGGTTCTCTCCGGTATGTATCATGAAATGTCTCTGGAGGCTAAATAATTCATTAAACTCTTTACCACAGACATCACACTTGTAAGGCCTTTCTCCTGTATGTGTCCTCGTGTGTTTCTGCAGTGAATACCGTCTAGTAAACGTTTTGTCTCATTCTATACAAGTGTAGAGCTTTTTTTACTGTATGTGTACTTCGATGATCCATTAAGATTCGTTTATTCAAAAACATCTTGACATACGCATCACACTTAGCTTGTTGTTGCTTCTCCTGTGTGAAAATGAGAAGCATGTGTAAAGCCATATTAAAGCCACAGCATTTGATCTTCTTTGGTTTCGAAGATGCGATTTAAGATTCCATTTTATGCTGCATAGATCCACTATAGAGGGTCAATAATAAGGGCAATGTATGATTTGCAGTGAGTTGTCATTACTTGAAGGTTGGTGTAGCGAATGCTTTTTATGTACTTCTTCTCCATTTGAGATTGGCGTTACACCGCATCATCTGAAAGCACCAAAATACAAATAAGAAGATAAAAGTTCATAGTAGCAACTGTAGAGGACACCAATTAATAATAAACTTAATTCTGAACTACAATGTATCACAGTTTAAACCTCTCAAATTGTTGCGAAACGGAAACTTACTATACCAAATATGAATCAATGTCTCGCATGGACGAGAGTGTCGCAGAGGCGACCTGTTTCAATTTTGGATATTTAAACTGGAAGCAAGCTTTTCGCTACTATATACCAAAAGCCCCAGTCACAATGTCACGGCATTGGCTACGTTATACTCCGGATGTCCAGTGTTGCACCATGGTAGCTCACCGGGGGCGTAACAAACTTTAACTCTCAAAGTTCAAAGCTTCACTTTAACCATGTTAAAATGTTACATATCATTAGCCAATTCCACCATCATGTCCTAACACCATCATTAGAAACAATCTGACCTACTATCATGTAACAAGTCCAGTATCATGTTCTAACAGTTGAAGTTTACAGAGAATTTTTTCTCGTGCGCACATAAGGAAAGGCAATAATTTAATAAACTTGTTATAGAACTCCGAAGACAGTCAGTTATCAAACATAGAGGAAATTTGAGCACGGGTTATTTCTAACTATAATACAAATCAATTAAGACGCCGTGCAGATCCAGACAAAACTCCAGTTCGAGAGTATCTATAAGGGCCTGCACTTTAGTTTGAAGAAGTAGAAGAACGTTCTCCAAAGTGGAAGGGTTATGGAACTCGCTTCTGAAACACAGGCATTGACGATGGAGAGACAAATAGTGAATACTATGAGAACCTAAAGGTGTCATAATCAGAAGAAACCTAAGACAAGCGTTCAAAATGGAGACAGCTATGGTAATCAAAAGTATACCATCTCGCCCAGAGAAATCAACCAAAAACAGATCCAAAGTCAAACTAAGTCCAACATGGACGTAATAAAAAAGAAGCCATGCCCAGTCATCCCGATGTAAACCTGGTGGTACGTTTCTGCACAGAAGCGGTCCTTGCCGAGCGAAAGGTAACAATGTAGTTCGTGTGAAGATCTTAATCGTTTTAGCAGGATGTGTCTGTATAAGCCAACAAAGAGACGTGTGAAAGCTGTTAATGTTGAAACGCTCTCCGATGAAAGCGAGGATGAGTATATTGTAAAAAGATAGGCAATGGACCTTATATGTATGTTAAAGTCCAGAATCGTGACGTGCAGTTGCTGGTAAATGTGGTTCATCTGTAAACATCCTTGATGCTACTCAACGAACACCTAGGGCAACAAGCTTTACAGGAAGGCAAAGAACAAACGAGTGATATATGGTGGAGATGAGTTTTGTGTACCTGTGACTAGTAGCGAGTATATGATGGTAATCGTAGATGAGTTTCCTCAATACCCCTGTGATGGTATTCTACGATCTGTTCTGTACGTTCTATACAACACCAGTACTTGATTAAGTGCTTAACACATTTGGAAATCCAGAGAAATTGAAAAGTTACAATGGTTTTCCATTCAATTCAGCAGATTTCTGGAAGTATGAAGTGAATCAAGGAGTTAATCACCGACGTATCATCGACGAATCACGCCAAGATGGCCTAGGGCCAATGCCCAGGCCAAGGGCTTCAACAAGCCTCTCTTGGAAGTGGTGCGGGTGGCACATTATGAACACAAAATTGGCAAAGGGAGTTGTCTGGATTCTTCGTGTCACACCACATAGTACAACTGGACAACACTATACAGACTTACGTTTGGTCGTGGACCTAAGAACCAATTTGCCATAAACTGTAGAGAGACCACAGAACACACTTCATGAACATTTTGCGAAAAAGAGACAGCAGGAGAAAATGCGAAATGAAATGGTATGCTAAAATAATTGTGCAGCAAACAGATATATTTACATTTGCATGGCATTGTCACTATATAGCCTCTTTGAAAGCTGTGTCTTTGATGGGACTTTAATTACCATGCATCACGAGACACAATTCTTAGCGTATTAATACAACACTGACCGGAACTACATTATCCAATATAAATAAAAATGACGGCTGCTGAAATATCGCTGGACATTGTGAGATTTGACAATGCCATTGTAAATTTATGTGAAAAATAAAAAAATAAAATAAAAAAATAACTTTTATTTCAACGAAAACAAGACCAATGTCTGCAATATCGTACAAAATGCACATCGGTTATCAGAAATATCGCTGTTACACTGCACTGAACAGGGGTTCGTTACAAATGTCTGAAATTCACATATTCTATAGACCTACTGACACATATGTTACAGACCTACTGACACATATGTTACAGACCTACTGATATGAGTCACAGCACACATAAACATTTCAGACATTTGTAACGAACCTGTGCTCCGTCGCAAGATCACTCACTTCAAACGCTACTGTATCAGTTTCACGCGTCTCGTATCCACCATTTCTCAGTTTCTGACGACATGTCAAATAACGAGGATGTTATAGAATCTACCGACTGTTGTCAGGTTCCCATACAACCAACAAATACATTCACGCCTGGATTCTTCACAAAATGAGCAAAGAGAAAATTTCGAATTAACTTCCAAAAATAACTCCCTCGTGGAGGGCAAGGTCGGATTTACGGTGTTCACTGTATTTGTCCATGCGCGAAATTTGTTCCGGGGGAAAAATCGAAACAATTTCAAATCTAACTTTTAGCTCAGAGTTCTATTTATAAACTTAAATCATCCTATAGACATATCATACGCAATTGTATTGATACTGAATTGTGGAATAAAATTGAAGTGTTTGTTAAAATTTCAAAATACTACTTTGTTTGCCAATCAGCACGCGACAATACGCTGTTCAAACTATTGAACGAAATTGTGTGGACAAATCATAATGCGCTAGCGCGCATTATGTTGTTTGCTTGCAAAGCTGTGTCATTCAAATAGATCATAAATACCATACAAAAACAGTTCAACGCTAAAATATATCCGTTGGTGATAATGTCATATTGAGGAAGACATTAAGGGCAACAAACTTACACCAGAGTGTAATCCACCGCCGAAACCGATGAGGAAATAAAGGAGCTAACAACACGCCGCAAAATGATGCCGCCACTTCGCAGGAGTACGACAGGGAGTAAAAGAACACTACTTTGTGCTAACTTAGTAACATCCTAGTAGCCTCGTGTTTTGTTATTGTGAAATTAGCTCTAGTGTGATAAAGGTTATAAGATCATTAGACATCTAACTCTCTAAATCAATCCTGTCATCTTTATTTTCTAAGTGATTTGATGACCATTTTACAAGGTGGAAAAGATATTCAGCAGAAAATACCATACGAATATTTACTTGTTTTATATCATAAAATGTACACTGCATAAACAGTGTAAATCATAATTCAATAATCATGAACATGTTTAAACTGAAAAAGAATGGATTAGATGTTATGACCATCTTAATCCTAGTTATCTATTCTGTATGGTAGTATGTACCAATCAGGAACACATGAAGTAACTCTTCAGTAATACAAGTAAATTTATGTTAAAACCGGCATATGCTCTGCAGAGTCATACAAAAGGCAATAGAAATTGGTCATCATCGTTACCGCCACAGCCTCCATCACAATGTCCATTGTCTTGTATATTATTTTTTTTTATCAAACTGCTGTGTTTACTATCAGCAAGTGCAGAAGGAATATAAGCACAACAAATGTTTCAACTGACAGTGCATAAAATTAAATTCATAAGCCATTTCTCGGCACATTTCTCTAAGAGAATTGCTCCTTTTCGCGTGCAAAATCGTATTTTCAGAAATCGCTCCATTTCTGCATCGCATTCCGTCGCCGTCACTCGAAATGGCAACAACCGACATACTGGAACCAAGTTCATATATATGTAAATTAATATAAGTTAAATCAACTTAAATATTAAATAAATGATCTTGTCTAGAGTGGTCACCGAACAAAAATCGGTTCAGCAACTAACGAGTTATGGATCAAGAAAGACAGAATTTACGAGAATGTTTGATAATTTTCATTATTTTTCTCACTACTTAGATTCATTCCGGCCACCATTTATGGGATTTATATGAAAGATGTGATCAAACAATTGATATAATCGTAAAAAGTGCTAAATTCTCTTGACCAGAGGTGTCTCTGAACAAAAATCGGTTCAGTATTATTAGAGATATGAGTATTTATTTGAACGAAAACTGTTGAAAATATTGCCATTTTTATTTCATAGCGGTTCATTCCGGCCACCACTTTCACTTCTAATTTAAAAATACTGCTCAGCATAACTTATACCATTGTAACGGGTATAAAACTATCTTTCTTATGCTGGTCTCCGAATAATTTTTTTATTATTCATTGACAGAGATATAACCTAATAAATACAATACTCCATCAAAAATCTCGTCACGCCTGAGTGCATTCCGGGTTTTGTACTCGCCCAATAATCAGGTCATTAGTAGTATCTACATTTCCGGTTGAATTGTAAACAAGCTGTTTGCACGAGGACCGTTTGCATGAGCACAGGCCGAAAAGATCGACGACTGCATTTCAGGTATTACGTACAATCAATGAAATATGGATATTCAAGATTTGTGCCACTCGTTTGTAACTATGATAGATATTGTTAAGTCGGTGTTTTGTTGGAGCGTATCACAGGGGCACGCTACTATCTTGTTAGACTTTCAGTCGCTCCTGGTACATTATCTGATCAAGTACAGTGCCGATTGAGCTAAAGGAGGCAGTACCCAAATCGGATCACTTTTGCAACAATACTTATAAATCAGTAAATGTGCCAACAAATCAGTTATTACAATGATGTAGTCTTAGAATAGATAGCCATGCACCATTTTTTTTTTTTATCGGCAAATGATTAGTTTTTAAGTTCAAATAGGAAATAGCACCAGAAAAACGTAATTCAAAATCAAATGTCAGTGTTTTGATGACGTTTATAAAAAATGGCGCGTGCGAAGACTAAGCATTTTGTTTTGAACTATAGGAATGAATTCACACTAAAGAAATACTTTTTGTCATTTAAATTCTTAAGGTCATCGTAAAATATTAATATGCTGACAAAAAAAATATTCATTTGAAGTGTAAGAAACTGCAAGATTCAAGTCTTGATCCGATTTGGGTCCTGACATTCGCAAAAACCGGAAACGCTGATTGGTAACTTCAGAGCGTTCTATAAATATTTCAAGAAAGCCCAAGGTGCTAATTTCGTTTGTAAGAACACCCATCGATATTCTTCCTTTGATACAACCATAAATGAATATGATTCCTCCTCAGATTTTCAAGGAAATAAATAAAATGATGGTTTGGTTTCCGATTTGGGTACTGTCACTTTATAGCTATATTCACCTATAGGACTCGCACAACTAAATCAGCCAATCAGCAAGTGTTTCATATTCAGCCCCTCCAGATTTGAACATGTTTTTAGCTCACCTGGCACGAAGTGCCAAGTGAGCTTATGCCGTGGCGCGGCGTCCGTCGTCCGTCCGGCGTCAATATTTTACTTTAAACGACTTCTTCTTAATAACCGAAAGGCCTAGGGTGTCAATATTTGGCCAGAAGCAAACTTGGATGAAGGGCTACAAAGTTTGTTCAAATAAATGACCTTCACCTATTTTAAAGGTCACAGGGGTCAAATATGTCAAAAACTTTAAACATCTTCTTCTCAATAACCAAAATGCCCAGGGAGATGATATTTGGCCAGTAGCATGCTTGGGTGAAGGGCTACCAAGTTTGTTCAAATGAATGACCTTCAATTATATTCAAGGTCACAGGGGTCAGTTGTATTAAAAAACCTTTAAACAACTTCTTCTGAATAACCAAAATGCTCAGGGTGATGCTATTTAGCCAGTAGCACGCTGAGATGAAGTGCTACAAAGTTTGTTCAAATGAATGACCTTCACCCATATTCAAGGTCACAGGG